CAGCAGGGCGCATCAGCCCCTGCCTCCCATCACATTCTCTGTGGCCTCCTCAGTGGCCTTGTCCCCTGTCCCCCCACATGTCCTCCTGTGTCCCTGCATGATCCCGTGTCCCCGATATCCCCAATGTCCCCCCATGTCCCCACTGGTGCCTCCAGTAGCTCAGCTTGTGCAGCCCCCATGTCCCCGTCCCCGCCATGTCCCCACTGTCCCCAGTGTCCCCACTGGTGTCACCAGTAGCTGCTCTTGTGCAGCCCTTGTGTCCCCTGTATCCCCATCTCCCCTTGTGTCCCGCCCGTGTCCCCATCTCCTCCATGTCTCTGCTGTCCCTCCCGCGTCCCCCCCCCTCCCCAATGTCCCCACCCTCCAGTGGCTCAGCTTGTGCAGCCGTGTCCCCATCTCCACCGCTGTCCCCCACGTCCTCACTGTCCCCCATGTCCCCGCTGTTCCTCCGTGTTCCCACCAGTGGTGCCAGTAGCTGCTCTTGTGCAGCCGTCGTTCCCCCGTGTTCCTGTCTGCCCCCGTGTCCCGCTGTCCCCCATGTCCCCGTCTCCCGCCATGTCCCCGCTGTCCCCCGTGTCCCCAGTGTCCCCCGTGTCCCCGTGACCCACCGGTGGCGCCAGTAGCTGCTCTTGTGCAGCTCGTAGTCCGGGATGGGCATCTCGTCCTCCTCCCACGTGGCCTGGTCGTAGGGCAGGTCCCGCCACTTGACCAGGTAGTGGTACTGCCCCTTGCGGTCCACACTGCGGGGACACGGGGACAGTGACACCCACGGGTGACGGTGACACCCGCGAGCGGTGTCACACAGTGGTACTGCCCCTTGCGGTCCACACTGCGGGGACACGGGGACAGTGACACCCACGGGTGACAATGACGCCCACGGGCAGTGTCACACAGTGGTACTGCCCCTTGCGGTCCACACTGCGGGGACACGGGGACAGTGACACCCACGGGTGACAGTGACGCCCACGGGTGGTGTCACACAGTGGGACTGACCCTTGCGGTCCA